CAGCCTCCACTTGAATGGTTGGTGACCTGGGGACACGTGATTTTGATCGACAAGAGTGAAAAACTATTATAAAATATTTTGATAAAACTACAGTGTTGTGTTCCTTTTTGAGTTCTAAATCTTATTCTCCACGTTCAACTTTGGAATGCATCTGTATTTATACATATTACTGAAATTCTTTGCTTATAAAGTCCAAAAGTGCAGGCAGTAGGACAAATGCGCGTAAAACCTCCAGAAGAAATTGGGAAAATAGACCAGAGCAGAAATGGTCTCTAGAGAGAGATTGTGTCTGTGTGTGTGAGAGAGAGAGATGGGGAAAGGGAGGAGAGCCGGTGGTCAACTGTATCTGTTTTGGTGATGGAATTCTCGTGAGGCGGCGTAGTTATGGTTGAGCATTAATGTCGCAGACAAAAATTTCTCAAGACCTCTAAGGCTCTAACAATTAGGCACCAACATTACATATACACAATTTTTTTTTTTCTTTCTCTCTCTCAAAAAGGTGCAACATTCCTACGGAGTCACCCATCTTAGTATTGCATTAGTGCTAGTATGATCGCACCCTTATATACACACAAGTTAACTTTTGATTTGTACTACAAACTTTGTTTTGTAAAGTCACCCATCTTAGTATTGCATTAGTGCTAGTATGATCGCACCCTTATATACACACAAGTTAACTTTTGATTTGTACTACAAACTTTGTTTTGTAAAACAAGTTCGCTCTATGTGACAATTTTTAGGTATCTATTAGGGGCATTATGGGTTGATAGTTAAGACTTCTAGTTTTGTTCGGTTTATATTTTAGGACTTCTTTTGTTTCCTTTCGGATTTCAGTTCTGTGTAATTTGCGTTATTGGGTGGATTCGCTGTGAGTTTCTCGGGGGTGTTTTCNGTGTGAAGTGGTTTGCCTATCTCTGAAGGCTTTTGGTGGCAGAATGGATCAGGATATTGCGAAGAAGCTTCAAAGATTTAGGTTATCTGAAAAATAGGAAGCGAAGGTGGAATTACTGGTCGAGGACATAACACCATGCTAAAGGATTGCCAAAGGATTTTTGGTCGAGGACATAACACCATGCTAAAGGATTGCCAAAGGATTTTGATTAGTAAAATTTTTGGCGAGAAGAAAGTCAATTTCGGTTGTCTGAAAGCTACTCAGGGGGGAATATTGAGCACCAAACAACCGTTCTCAGTTCACAGGTTAGGGCCTAATATTGCACTGACATCTTAGAAGACGAAGAAAGGATCAATGTATGGGTGCAAATACATAATTTGCCCTTCCATTGGATAACTGCTGAGGCTGGGATGAAAATGGGTAGAAAATTGGGCAGAATGGTAGATGTGTTTGTGTCAGGGGCTTCAAACGTTGTCAAATGTTTGGTGAAAACACAATTGAAGGATCTTATCTTAAGGGTCCAGATGGACCACAGGATCAGACAAGGAATGAGGAAGCCCACACGTCTACAGTGTGTGCGCTATGAGAAAAAACTCAGTAGCTCAAAAAAGTTGTCTGTGGTGGGAAGGGATATATGAACATAAGTGGCTTGTACTAAAAGATCTATTGTGTCATCAACGATTTTGTGGTCGACAGAAGCCTTCCACTGATCGGGCACAAGAATCCTATCTGAAGCTGAAAATTCCAGGTTTGATTTTTCAAGAAAATTCGTGACACACAATGGATCATAGGTTGCTCCTCTCGGTTGTTCGGGTGCTGATTGTCCGCGGACAAAAGGACATTTCGATGTTGGTCTTAGCACCTCGGATGCTTGTTCGCGGTGGGCTGACGCCGGCGTTGATCGGGTGCTGCGGGTAGGGGTTGATGCTATGTATATCATTTGTTCGATAATTCTCTAAAAAAAGATTAATTGATGTGATATTTAATATTTATGTTGTCCATTTTAAATTTATTATTTTTTAGTTTGGTAGCTAAGCTCCCTTTAAGTGGTCCTCTCTTCCGTACTTTATTGAGGAATTCTTAAAACGGCAAGAGCAAAAATGCACCTTTCTCTCAGACGGTTATTTTGATATTCTTTCCAGTATTCTTCCGAGTTTAGCAATTCGGAATGGAATAGATTCTCTGACCAGTCCAACTTCATAAATAAAGCTTCGTTCATTTGGTATTGATATTTCAACTCCAAACCACCCTCATTTTTGGCCAAGCACACTTTGTCCCAGGAAATCAAATTAGGCTTCATCAAATCATTCATTTCACCCCCAAACAGACAAAAATGGCCATTAGACCAAAGCAGGTCTACAAGGTGAAGACTCTCTATCGTCAGATCATTGGCAATCTAGTTTTGCTTTCTTTGGAATCGAAGTTTAATGCATTCATACATGTGATCTTGAACAAGACGGTGATTCAAAAAATATTGATGGTGCAGTCTCGCCCCAAAGATAACAAACATCGACCTATTGATCTTGTCCCTGCCCCATTGCTTTTTACCGGCCTAACCAACCGATTAGCAACTTCGTCAGTTCATGAAAAAGAGAAGGATATCTTAGTTCAAGAGAATATAGGATCCGTTGATTTGCATGCTTTAGCGCAGACTCGTATGCCTATTCTGATACGACGGGATCACCCACTTCTTCGCCTTTCGCCCCTTTTCTATCATTTTAGTCGAGTCTCACTTTGCTCTCCTTGATATTTTCTTTGGAAAGTTTAGTTATGTTTTGATTAATTGAAAGAAAAGAGCTTTTTGAGTAATGCTCGAACGATGGTTTTTGGAAAATGTTTTCAATACGGCCAAGCTGCGGTAGAAGAGAAGGTTCCATCGAAACAATTATTTATTTCAGTTCCAGGGTTCCTTGTCTCTTTTTTTTTAAAAAAAAAAAAGAGGGGGAGGGGGGGCTTTCCATCGCCCTGGTTTCTTCTTTTCCTTTCTCAATCGAGCTCCATATAGACTCTGAGCCTTAAGGAAGGACCCATAGCCTAACTCAATACGAGGGCTACTGACAAGGTCCAGATTCTATGTCGCATCCAGATGCATATAAAAGAGAATTTCTCCGTGAGGAACTCTAACAAAGTTTAGAACAATGGTTGGCTGGTGGCATACTATGAGTAATGATTCCTTCATTCACGAGAAATAAGAAAGAAAAAGAAAAAGTGAGTATTTCACAGAGAACCGACAAGGAATTCCACTAATAACTAGTCGTTTTGATTCTTTGGAACAACTTGTTGAATTTAGCTTGATGTACCCTTCAACCCTTTGAGCGCGTCTAGCAAAATGACCGGAAATGTTTCAAAAAAAGTAGGCATACAACGTACAAAAACCTCACTCCCTTCTTTATCCGTACAGGAATATTCACCTATTGTCCATCAACTATGCCTTTCTAGAATGAAAGCATGCCCCCTAACCTATAAAAAATGGGGGAGCTCATGCGGGAGTAGAAGTATAGAGTCATGCAAAAGAGAAATGCTATCCCCACTCGGACCAAGACATAACTTTTACTTGTTCAAATAACAATGAATGGCTAAGATTGAGTCTTACGTACTCATTTTAAGGAGTGTCCTCTACATACTTATATACTACACATCATCTTCTACATTGTGCTAAGTTAACCATCGGAGGCTCTTCATTAGAAAATCATTCGGTGTAGGGGTTGCCACCTTATGTGTATATGGCATTCGGGAAAAGTTGACATGTGGCCTTCGAACTGCCACTTGACGTGTGGCCTTCGGGCTGGCACCTTGACGTGTGACCTTCAGGTTGCAACCTTACGAGCATTGCAATGCTTGGGAAGACGAGCCGTTCGAGCCGTCGATCGAACCGTTCGAGCCATCACCCAAGAGACGAAGTCAAGGCTTATGTCAAATCAGCTACGCAGAACTCCGAGTTTGTAGCTCGGAGGCCTACGTAAAATAAGTTAGGCAGATGTTTGTCTCATTTCTGTTGCGTTTTCCGTTATTGTTTTGTCTTTGTTTTCCTCCGTTTTAGGTTTTTTCGTTGTTTTTTAGTCCGTTTTATGGTTTGTTGCGTGTTTTCTTTTATTTTTGGTTTTTCTATGTTTTTGTTTGTGTTTCTCGGTTTTCTTCATGTTTTTGTCATTTTTGGCGTGCAGGTCGGGAGCTTTGGGCGTATATGATTTGAAGGAAAAAATGATTTTGTGAGCTTAATTATGTAGAAGGGTTCATTGGCGACGCGTAGGAAAATAACGACACTCAATTCCGAGTCCGGGCGAGCCCGTGGCACAAAGTCGCACATGCAGTCCAGTTTTCTTCACCGCGGGCAACAGAGGATTCTCGCGGTCGCGGAACACTTCTGCAGCTGNTTTCTCTAGTTTTTCATCTTGAATTCAATCTTGGAAGGTGACACTCTAAAAATCGATTTGTAAAGATTCTTTTCGGATAATTTTCTCTGCTTTTCTTTTTCTCCTGTGCTTAAATTGTTGTTAACAAAGACATTGAGTGTAGTTAAAAATATGTGAGTGAATGAATAGTAAGTTAAAATTAATATGATGTGTGAAAATAATTTACTGATATTATTTAATTATATTAATATTTTTTAAGAGAGTTTGATTGGATTAATTTAAATTGAATTTTAAGTGAAGTAGTGTAAAAAAAATTTATCCAGTCGGTCAAAACTGAATAGAATATGTAGCCAAATTATTCCAAATCACGTTTCAAAACTTAGCCAACATAAATTTCCTTTTCTTTGCTCTCGTCTTGAGTTCATTATCGATTCAGAATAATCAACACAAGTTGAAAAGGATAATAACAATTTCCTCTTTTCCATCTAAACAAGCAAAGTAGCAAATGCTCCAATATCACTCGAGGAACAAAAAGAACTCTCACAAAATGCTTTACAAGTACGTTACAAAATTTTACTGCAAAATAAACTGGTTTACTGCACGTGCCAAATTACATTAGAAAGAAAAAGGGTGCATCTTTTTCTTAGTCTGGCAAATTCCTAAACCCTCTCCCTACAAACTTATTTTTCTGTATGTACAGAGACTTCTCCCACGTTACAGAAGCCCCTGTTTCTCCTAAAACAGCATGAATAAAATAAAACTATCAGTATCCCTTAAGAGATCAACTATTTAGCACTGGGGGATACTTTTTTCCACTTTTATGCAAAGCCAAACTCCAGTCACCTTCCCAATTTTCGTCTTCTAATCTTTTTCCAGCGCATTTCATCAAGTAGCCAGCCATGGATTTTCATCTGGAAATCTGCTTTTTCATTGTAGACCTTCATGAGTTTTGGTATGCACTAGGAAAATCTCATGCAGGCTAGATCAAAAATCTGGAAAGCCATTTGATCTTGATGAGTATTCCGAGACAAGCTTGAGAAACATGGACGATTTATCCTCCAGTAGTCTTGCCGGGGTATCATATTCTGCTACTCTACCTGAGAAATGCACAAAATGCCAACATTAGCCATCTTTCTATTATGCAAATTTGTCTCAATCTTTTATTTTTCCAAAAAAATCTTTTTCAATATACATCCTGTTTTACAATATGGGTTCTTTTGTGAGGTATTTCTTAAGCCTTTTGTAAAAACCTCCAAGGTGGTGTTAGAGTTATGTTAATTTGGACTTAAACCTCAATACGGCTTTTGAACAAGATTACGGAGTAGATAGATTTACCATCACTGAGGACCAAAACCAGGTCGCTATCAATAACTGTTGGGATACGGTGAGCAATCGTACACACGGTACAGTTTTTAAATTCTGTTCTTATAATCTTTTGGATGAGATTATCCGTGGCGGAGTCAACTGAGGCCGTGGCCTCATCGAGCACCAAAATTTTTGCTTGTTTAAGCAGAGCCCGGCCCAAAGATACTAGCTGCCTCTGGCCGACACTCCAATTATCTCCATTTTCTAGAACTGCCAAAAGACAATCAAAAAAATCTTTTTTAGCCCTCAGAATGTGATGATTTTGTCCAATAGGCCAGATTTCCAACAAGCTTTTACCTGGGGTGTCTAGTTTATGCTCTTTCTGGCGAACTATGTCTCCTAACTGCGACTTATCGAGAGCCTGCACCAATTTTAAGAATACAAAGCTTTAACATATATAAATCCAATAGCCTACACATGATATTTAGCGTAATTACAATCAAGGAGCTCGTTGTTTATAAAATTTATGAACACTCCTTACAAATATGTGACAAATGGCCGTCTCACAAGCATGCAATTTGAAAAACAGACATAAAGAGAGAAATTTATAAATTGTGGTTTTGAACTAGATCTTTTCGTAGTTGAACTACAACTTCAAGAGCCAAGGGTATATTTGGGATTTAACCCACCATCCATAAACATAATATTTATAAGAAAAACAACGAAACATCGCTGAGGTTTGTGTCTCAATATTTTTATTAACAGCATTTAACCTCTGAATGGTAGAATCTTATATTCTTCAAGACAATGCTCAAAAAGAAATGTACCTCCCAAATTTCTTGATCCGAATGTTCTTCGAGGGGGTCAAGGTTGCCCCTAATAGTTCCTTCGAATAATGTTGGGTCTTGGGGTATTATGCTCAGCCGGCTTCGTAGGTCATGAAGACCGATAGTCGAGATATCAATGTTGTCTATGATTATTCTACCACTAGCTGGCTCGATCAATCGAAACAGAGCCTGAATCAAGGTGGATTTGCCACTTCCAGTACGGCCCACAATTCCAATTTTCTTGCCGCCTGGAAATGTGCAGGTGACACCATGTAGCACAACAGGAAGACTCTCCTTGTAACGAACCTATAGTGGACACAAATAAATAGTCGTGTTATATGATCTACTTCTAATGTATTCATTCGTTCGGTATAACTCTCATCCATGCACAAACACAAGCAAAATGGAATCATGCATTGATCACTTTTTGTGAGACGTTCCGAAAAAAATAAAGT